TCTTTAGCTAAAGTCAGAGAAAAGTGCGGATTTGCAAAGGGTGGAGTCATCTCATTTACTAATGTGAACACTACTGGTTTTACGGTGAGTGACACTGTGCAAGTCAAGATTTGTTTTCACAGTACAGTTATTACTAATCTGCTTGGTAATGACTCAATTACAAAGCTAAAACAATGAGAGCTACATGGAAACATTTAATGGAAGAGCAACAGCATGTTAGTTGAATTGTTGATGCAGAAAAGCTAAACATTACACTATAACTTTTATTCTTCAAAAAACATCTCAGTGTTTTCAATTGCACTTGGGTGAAATTAAAATAAAAAACGGTGAACCAAATTGAAAGGCTTTAGTGGGATTAAAAATGGCATTCAGGTGTTAATCTTGAAGATACACTTTGACCTTTTCAACTGTGAAATGTTTCAAAAATAAAATGGAAAGATAAAGGAAACTAAAACATAAATTAAGTAAATTTCTTTTTTGTGCTGTTCTAAATTCCAAGAAAATGTGCAGTTAAGTATCTGAAGAGGTGATGGCAAACTTAATTAGAGTTTCAGTATTACTGCAAGCCACAATGGAATAATGTTTAACCATGAAGGTCTGTACAGGGACTGTAGGGTTAGTTTTCTATGTATTGTTGATGCATCACTGCATTTTAGCAGATGTATTTAATCTTTTCGAGATGCAGTCAACCCTGGCTTCAGTAAACATAGACTATAGCTTTGGCTCTTTTGATTGTAATAGTTCCCGTTCTCTTTTTAGGTCTATTACAGTCTTTCGTGCATATGACTTTTTTGACTATAGATGCAATCAGCATGGCATGTGAGGCTTCAAACCCACGCTTTAGAACATAAATGTTATGAGAGGGGAATGCCATTCCTCATACTCCCACAACCCTGTCTAAAGTCTTCAGGGTTAACTTTGTCAGTGTCTTTTAGGATTGTGAATACTTATTTGTGGAGATTTTTCTAATGATGTTAGCTCATATATGTGACAGAGTGGAATCTTTTCTACACTTGTGCCTTCTAAGTATCTCTAACTTTTGCAGTGCCCTTTACATCTAAAAAAACCTCTCTGGATTTCTCAATGTGCCCTTATGTTTATATGGTTGTATATATTAGCTATAAAATAGCATATTTAAAATAGCATAAGGCCCCACGGTGGTGTTTTTTCTTCTCTTTTCAGCATGGAATAAACCTGTTACTTGTTCCTTTGCTGACGCAGCTACCCACCTGAACTATTGTGTAGTACTTCCTTTTTTACTAATTCTTTTTTATTATTCTTCTATTTTTCCTTTATTACTCTTTTTTATTCATTTTGAATATTACCCAAACTATTTTTATAAATTCTACCTCTCCAAATTTAAATTGTCATTATAATGAAGAGTTTAAAAGGAGAATTTTATGTAGGAATTGAACTTGGCTGGTTCTCCTACTTACAGAGTGGAAGACTCATAGCCTTTGGAGAAAATGGCTTCTTGTGTATTCCAGAAGATTTGAATGTTATGGGTCTCATGAGATGAGATGTGTTTACTGTTAGGACTTGGTGAGGACTAGGTGAAGGTCAGATGTGTCTGAACTGTAAAATCTTATACATTGATGTAAAAAAAATGCCCCGTTAATGTATAAACAAATCAGTATTTCGCAGTCATTCTGCATATAAACACTCAAGTCTGAAGAATGATGTTGCCTTTACTGTGCCTGGGACGTGTTGTGAGGTCTGATCAGATCAGATAGTCCTCTGTAGTGTCCTGCATAAGGTTAAATGCCTGCGGTTACTCACAGGTGATCCAAAAAAGTGGATTGAGATTAGGCGTCATTTGAATTTGTTTAGATGGAAAGTTTGACTCCAAAAATTACATTTTGGTGTGAGTTATGGTCAGATGTAGTCTTGCCCATTCTACAACATATAACACATTTGAAGTGTTGTCAGCCAAGGGTGATCGGCACAGTATAAATGAGCAGTGCTCTTGCTGTTTCATTGCACTGCATATGCCTCTGTAAGGTTTGAGTAAATAATCAAAATGGACATTTTTCCACTGACATCTCATGGGTGGTGGCAGTAGTATACAGCTTTTTCAACGTGTATTTAATTGCTTTACATAAGAGACAGAGTACAAAATTTAAAATGTGAATATTGGGTCACACAGTGGTTAGCATTGCTGCGTTGCAGTTTGGTTCGGTTTCTGGGGTGCTATCTGTGTGGACTTTGTATGTTTGTCTGGGTGCTCCAGTTTCCTACCACAATCCAAAGATGTACTAGTTGGTTAATTGGCTTCTGGGAAAATAGGCCCTGCAGATAGTACTCTTGCCATCTTGTGTGATATCTTATTTAGCCACACGTCTCTACCTAAACTGTCACGGATGATTTACAGTATGGACACAGCTGCTCAATATCAACTCAAAAAAAATATTTCAGAATCTCCCTTAAAGTAAGCTATTAGCTTTTTCAGCATGCACAGAAACTAAATTACATTCCTGATCAGTGATTAAACCTTTAAGAGTGAAGGAAGTTCTATACTGGTAAGAAGAGTTACTTTTCTTATAATGTTGAGTGTTGTGCCTCAGGGTGAGTGAGGGTGACTGAGAGGTGAATGTTGGTGTTGTAAGTCAGAGAACAGGAGCCCATGTTCTCTGTTGGAAGAAGAGTGGGATGGGCAGTCTCTGCTGCTAACAAGTGGACATCTGGTGTGTAGGATCAGAGGAGTAGTGTAGTGTGGAAATGAGGAAAGATGATAGGGGTGTAATTAGTGAAAAATGTGAGAAAAGGTGATATGTGAGAGAATAATGTGATAAAGAAGGCGGGCCTGTAATGACTCACCTGCTAGGAGTGCCTGTCTGACAAACACCAATATAAATTCAGAATTTGGCACAGTTTTGTCTTTCAATCTTTCTGCCAATCATTATTGTTCCATACCATACACCATAAAGGCTATTATCCTTGGACCCAAGCAGCTGAAGGATAATAGCCGTTATGGTGTATGGTATGGAACAATACTGATTGGCAGAAAGATTTAAAGACGAGCATGAATGTAACATCTCTCTTCTATTTAAAAAGAGTTGCTTTATTTTCAGTAATATATACAAAAGAGAAGAAGAATAACAATGGTTATGCAAATCTTAGAGACCAAAAATGCTTTTTTTTAGACTTGTTTAGAGGTGGAAATTGTAAAGCTGCTCAAAATAGGGGTGTTTACAGAAACATATAAGAAACTAAGCAATGGTTCAGTAGGGGCACTGAAAAGAGTCCTATTGGAGGGGTGTACTGTGAAATGGAATGTTCCAATATAATAAACGAGCAGGGGAAAAAGAGGCTTGTTTTCAAGAAAAGGTCATTGGGGGGGGTAGCTGACATGAAGCCCCAACCCTTTTCTTTTCTTTATTTAAGGAAGAACAAGGAATCAGCTTTGTGTATTTGCATACGGCTTTCCCTGAATGTTAGGTTTCAGTAAGGCTATGCAAGAGAAGCCCAATAATTATCTCTAAATTTCCCAAAAATAAAGATGAAGACTAAAATGAAAGCATAAAAGCTTGCCAACTACTTTTATCACTTCTTGAAAATAAACCTTTGGAGCAACTTCCCTTTAGTTTAAATGCATTTGATAAATAAACTTTGATTTGATTTCTGCTACCAGTGGACATCAGTCGGCATCAGTAACCCAGGAAAAGAACTTGGTTCAAGTGGGAGAGTCTGCTTGGTACAGGCTGAATACTGAACAGAAGACGGTGATTGAACCTAGTTGTACTTTGACTGTACTTACAGTTATGATATAGAGAGCTTGATTTCTGTCAGTGTTCTTTGCACTGTAGTGCAAAAATCTGCATTTGTTTCTTATCTTGTTCTTATTTATTATCTTGTTCATTCAAATGAAAATAAAAATGAGGGTTAGAGAATATTTCCTGCTATGAAGAACTCGAGCAAACAGGAGCTGCTTTTCTGAACTGAAGTTTCTGAAGTTTGTCTGCCTTTGATGTCTATCAGTAGTTCCAATACTGTAATTTGAGATGGGAAAAGTTTAACACTTCTGCAGGAGCCTGAAAAAGCTTAACATGTGTAACAGTTTGGTCTTGTTCCAAACATGCCTTGTTAGTTCTAGTAACTGATGTCTTCGAGGGGGTCAACGTACGTAAACCAAGAATTACCAAATTACCAAATGCCTGTTTATTTCCCAATTACATCATACTGTATAGACTCTGAATGTGCCTGTTAATGCACATTGAAGTTTGGGAAAATTTTGTAATGAATAATGATGCATTGAAATGATTAATTTCAAAGCTATTTGGCTGTATTTCAAAACCTGTTGCACAATTGAAATATAAATCATAAAACCAGTACTATATTGCCAAAGCTACTCAATATATTTCATTTAAGCAGTTCAGTTTCTGAGAGGAAATGTAATCACTGGCTCAGTGATGATCTGATTTCCTGGTCTTGACTTCTTTGTTGATTTCTTGATCTTTCAAGTTTTCAACTGAGATCCATCAGTTTACATTCCTCAGTATTTCTCATGTTCCACTTTGGAAACTACAGTAGTTTCATGGGAAGGAGTTTAATATGGTTGAAACACATTAAAGATTGATCTATAGAAAAGTGGATATTGATTCTGTTTATTCTGTAATTAATGGGGCAGTGGATTCCTCTATCCCAAATTTTAAAAATGACTACCTTATAGACTTATCCTTGTTAAATACCATTAATTGTGATGTACTGTATGTGATGCAATTAGTTTGACCCCAAATAGATATTAAGATATAGTATTGAATGGGCACACAGATAAATCTGGTATCCAGGCTTTGTGTCAGATCAGGGCTGTGCTGTTTGTGCAGCAGGGAGAGGAAGTTTCCTTGGCAACAATACAGTGTGTCTTTTGAAAAGTAGACTTGCATTTTTAAATAAAAGACTGAAATATTGCTAGAATATAATCATTAGGGATTAGGGCTTTCTTTTTAATGCTGAAAAGAACAATATTCTAACTTGGACTTTCTCTTTTCTTTTGTTCTTAGACTATAGTCCCTGGAATGACCTGAGCACTAAAGAGAGGAGTGATTCTGAGAGAGAGGTAAGAATGTAGGTTCTCTAGTGAACCCCCCTGTGCTGTTTCCAACCTTTCCCTTTCCTATTGAACTTCCTCATGAGCGTTTTATTTCAGGTAGCTTTTTGGTGCTGCAAGCATTTGGCACTATAAAATCAAACTAATTGAAATGATACAAAATCTATAGAAGCACAGTGGAAAACAACAGTACTGCAGTAAACGGGACGTGGAGGTGTAGTGGAGATTCCTCTCTGTAGAGACAGTCCTTGGGCTCTAACTCACTGGAATTTATCTTGTGAGTGACTGATCTGTGTTGAATCTGAAGAAGAGCAGGGGATATGGCAGCCAGAGACTCTGTGATTTGTGCTGCGACTTGCCACCACATGCACTGAAACCTCTGCTGGTTCTTCTGAGCGGTGTTCAGCCAGCAGTCTGCTAGTCCTGATGAAAAGGCTAATGCACTGGTCTCTTCTGTGTATTTCTTTGAGTTTTGAAGTTGGAATAAATTGGTTGAGGTTTGAGATGATTAGAACAGCTCAAATAGAAATTGAATTGTTAATTTTTTAAAACATCTGTCCCTTTGAAAAAAGAAGCTGTCTTCACTGGATATAGAATTAAGCTAAACTGAAGTTTGCTTTGAGGTCATTTTGCATAACATACTTGAATCCTTTGGAGCATTACTGCAGTTCAGATTAATTTGTTGTAGTTTAATGATACAAAATCTATAGAAGCACAATGAAAAAACAACAATAAATATAAACAGTACATGTCAGTAGTAGCAGTTGTAAAAAGCTTGGAATTATATAATATGGTTACAGGTGTTGGTTAGGACAGGAAAAATGTGGAGCAGGTGTGCCAAACCGCTGCCTTCGGGGGGCCTCTGCCCAGCAGGTTTTATAGGTCTCTTTAAGTCCCCAGCTTCTTAAGAGCAGGGAAATGTTTCAACTCGTCCTATCAAGCACATATTGAGTTCAATTAGGTAGTAAAGGGGTCAGGTGGAAAGAGAACCAGATGCCTTCTGGCTCTCCAGAACTTGAGTTGTTCTTCCCAGAGAAAATAGTTATTATACACAATAAAATGAGTTGGGAGTATTTTTTCATGTTTATTTTGGCTGCCTGAGCATATCATTGAATCAGTTGGGATTAGTTTGGAATGAGCTCTGCAGCTTTCAAGGAAATAACGTGGCAAATTAATATTTAAATGAATCAGTGCTAAACTGATTTTTAAATAGACTTATTTAGCAGAAAGACTATGGTGCTGTATTGTGATCATTGAGGCTGGTCCCTATTTTGGTTCCTATGTTAAGTAAAATATTGCAAATGGCAAAATGTGATCAAACTTGAATTTCTGCATATTACACAAATTGTATAACCAGATATATTAATAAATTAATATATACATTTCTTTTTGCTTCTGTGGGCCCAAACTGAGCTACACCTCCAACACCTGTGCCACTGCTGTCAACTACAGACAGATTTCGCCATTCGAAATCAGGAAGAGCCAAGTGCATCTTTTCCCTTCTTGTCATTTCCAGATCTGTAACGTCTCTTTATTAACAACCTCACGTTTTCCTGAGAAAATTCTATTGAAACATAGATTCCAAATCACATGCCTATCGGAAGACATTTCAAAGTGTAAAATATAATTTTAATTGAAATACTGTGATTTATATGGCAATTATATAGTTATTCTTTTGCAAATAACAAAAGTGTATTAGTTTTCCCAGTTGCTCAAAAATGACTTGACAGCTGCCAGTTATTTGATTTTTCTGTTGGTTTTTAACTCAAGACCTTCAGCTGAGGCAGCAGATACTCTGGGAGGTTTATTGTTCACCTCTACTCACTCCTAATTGGATGCCTGCCTAAAAAATGGCAAATTCTTAACCGTCGGTCACTCAGGATAACTTAAACAGAGGAAAACAGTTATTGCTCTCCTTTGTCTCCTTACTTTTGTTTAGACTGCCTTGGAGAAAATACATGGCTTTTATTTGATGGTCACCTAATGCTCAACAAAACTATAGACTCTTAACTTTTTCTTCAACTGTAGAATATCTTTTAACTTTTTTCCATGAAGTTGACTTTGATTAGCATCAAACAAGTGATGAAATAAACTGTTTCTTAACACATGGAAGCACACTGTCTGTTGTGACTTCGACAGCATCAATGTCAAATACTTGTAGCTTTATTAAGTTGGCACTTTCTGGCCAGCAGAAAATACCTTAGTCAAGTCGTCAGGACTGTTGAGTTTAACCTGTTTTCCTAGATGTACCCTTGTAATACACAGTACTTTCTGAACTCAAACTGTGCCTGTCATGCCTTGGGCAATTTGTCAACAATGTAAAGATCCAAAGACACTAGCAAACTAATCCAGAAAAGCGATTTTGCCTTACATACCTCTTATGTGCAGGTTAGGTTGGTTCATATCAGTGAGTTGTGTTCTATATTACTCCTAAGAAGTGAATTAGGTTCAACAAAGTAATGCAAAAGTTAGGCCCTAGGCCCTCAGAAGCATATCTTGCCTATTGTAGTGCATCTAATAGGCTTCCGAAAAATTAGGAGCAAAATACCATATATGGATATTCAAGTTTCACTTGCTTTTAGAGATTTTCATGACATTGATGCATATTTAATGTCAATAATAGCTCAACTTACATCTTTATATGTCTGAAATTAATAAATTAATGTGAACATCTTGCCATTTAGTGTGATCCTTTCCCTTGGTTTCCCTTGCTGACACTTTTAGCAGTGTGCAAGCCTCTTGTTCATTTGAGGATCAACAAACTGACTTCCTGTGTGAAAAATACCTGTTCACAGAGATATGTTGATCCATGCTGAAAAAGTTCTCAAATCATGATCTTTTAAGCATCAGTGATGTGGTTCAAAACCTCTGTGTATATTGACATCTGAAGCATCGTGTCTCAAAAATAAGTGTTTAAAAGCTTAAAAGTTAGTTGTTGAAAAAATTCATAAATCACCTTCAACAAAATGCAAGTGTGATGTCTCTAGTTGTTTTTTTTAAGAAGCTAATGAGCTTCCAGAAAAAGAAGATCGAGTGAATATCAATCTTTGAGCTAAAATTACTGCAGGTGCATTTCAAAATCCTCAACACCCATCCACTGAAATACTGAAAAATACTGTTCGCTGTACGGGTCGCTGGTATCAGTGCTGTCTGTTTAAATCGGTGGCAAAGATTGCATGCTTTTTTCTGAAAACGATAGGCTACCTCTTTTCTACATCAAAGAGTATTGGGTAGTATGTTGTTGGAACTTGTTTTAATGTTTTTTATTGTACGTGCTGCTATCATTGTTAAAAATACCTTTGCATGCCAATAATGTTTTTAATGAAGCCATTGCAAAAGTCATGGTCCAATTTATTATTGCCTGTCAGGAGGCTAACTGTTACAACAGAAGGCTTATGACACCAAACAGGTAGTGGTGACAACCCAGGTGATGCTCAAGTAGGTAGCTGCATCAGCATGTCGTCTGCAAAGAAACAGGTAATGGTTTATTCCATGCTGAAAAGAAAAGAGACAAAATATAGAAGGCTCCCCAGCCAAACCGTTTTCTCTTTTCTTATCAGCATGGAATAAATCTTTACCTGTTCCCCTGCACATTACCCAGATAGCACACGGAGGGCAAAATGAATGTCAGAAATGACATGGAGTTTGCCTGGAAACATTCAAGCAGCTGTTGAGATTCCAGGTTGTGGGGCACTGTCGTGACACCTTTCCTGATTGGGAGTACAAGAGGCAGACTGTGACTGGGTAACCTGGGAGATGGAAATGCACTAAATGAATTTTCACCAGTATCGGGTGAAGGGCACAATGCATACTCATTGCCTAGTCCAAATATGTTACAAATAATGAATAGTTGATAAATCAGATCTTACTTGATTTGAGGGATGATCCTCAAATAATTAAATCTGAGCTTAAGACACAATTACAAAAAATGAGAAGTAAAAATTGATATTTTACAGATCAAATGACTGTGTATTTCCTGATTAGGTAAGACCTGGATTATTTAAGATGTATTGCTGGACCAATATAAACACAATTTTGTATCAGTTAATAAACTGGCTGATGTAAAACTGAAAAGACAAACTTTTTTTCACAATTGCTTTAGGAATTGAGCCCAGTTTCTGTAACTCTCTTTTACAGGTATTGAATGTGTGATACACCTCTCTACAATGGTTTCTTTCATGCTCTGTCATTGCTTCATATTTGGCGTTCTGATCCCAGTCTGATCTTGTGTAGTTTTTGAGTAATTTTATGGATTTGCCATTTTGCTTTAAGTGATCAAAGTACTTAAATGTCTGTAAACAACACTTTGTGCCTTAGAAATATAATTAATGTGTGGTTAGATGAGTTCACATTTAAACCAGTATATCACGTTTAATAAACCTTGAATACTAATGGGGAGAAATGTGTTGTAAACCTCCAGATGTGTGCGAAATTTTCTATGGTGAAAATAAAGTTAATTGAAACTCAAAATGCAATGGATTCCTAAAGTTTCACTGCTTTATAGTCTTAAAGGTCACACAAAGACTATAATGTTATAAGTCCAGTTATAATTATAAGTTATTTAATTTAGTTTTGTGAGTCCAAAGTAACTGAATATTTCTGACATAATTCTAAACTACTTTGGAGCAAGATCAGAAGTTCTTCAAAGCATTACAATGCATAAAAATAATTCCCAGATTCATAGTGAGAACATCAGCTTTATTCATGTCTTTTCAGTTCTTGTGCTGGTGGTGCAAGAACCGGCACAAGAGGCGAACATCTCCTTTGGGCTGCAGCTCCTGATATAAGTTGATTGGTTCATCTGCTTAATTCATATTAATGATATGACTCATTAATGATGTTCTTTGGTTGTTCAGAATAGACAATGTACAGTGTACAGTTTTAAAAGAGAGAATGTGGACAGTAATAGCATATCCAATAATAAGTCTTCAGTGTTTTGTGTTTCTATTGATAACCCATTCGTCAGTTGACACGTTGCAGGCTCCACAGTGCTTTGATGTCAGGCTGACGTCACTGCAAGCCCACATGTCCAGCAGGAGCCAAACTTGTTTGCCATGAAGCCTAGAGAGCTCTGTATGACTCTGCTTTCATGGTGCCCAACTAATTGTACTGCCACTTTGGGAATCTTGAATCTTGTAGGTCATGGTAGGTTAGAAACTGGACCCAGGTTCAAACCATCGATATAATGATTCCAATAAGCAATAGCTATCATCTAAACCACTGCAAAGGAGTTATTGTGCAGCATTTCTTTATTTGTAATCATGCCTGTGTGATCTTTTTTACGATGTATCTATCTCTGGGATACTGACATTTGTATAAAATATTTGCTTGGATGAATAATTTGGTCAACTTGCTCAATGATTGGAGCATTCATTGTGTGCATTTATTATATACTGTATACCAAATAGTCATTTGCAGACAAATGATACTGACTGCCGATAGAATAACTTTTACACTCTGGATATGTGTATCTTATAACATAGTTGGTTCATTTGACTTAATTATTGTGATCTTAGTCATGTGTATGATGAATCGGCAATCATTCTGAAGTACTCAGGCATGCGTGTTAGGCTATGACACAAGTTAATAAAATTATGTATTAAACTACTGCAAGTGAAAAGAAAGTAATTTTGTTTAATGAAACGTGTTTAATTAAAAACTCAAAAACTGTCCTGTCTTTTGTCTTCACAGTATAAGGGCCAAGCAAATTTGCACATTTTTGAAGATTGGTGTGGCAGCTCTGTTGACCAACTGAGAAAGAACCTGCACTACCCTTTATTTGCTCACGTGAGTGAATCCATTTCCTCCTTGTCTTTCAGTGGAATAATTATTCATTTTTGTATCCTTGATAGCTGTAGTTTTCACACTCTGTGCAGAAAGCAGTGTGTACAGTAAAGCTGTCTTTTTTTTTGCATGGGTACATACACACCCCTGTATAAGAATTTAATTATGGCAATGCAAATTATTTGCTCAAAATGTGTGTTTTCTAAGGACTTGATTAAATATTGGGAAGATTCCAAAAAATCCTTCAATTAAATATGGAATTACCAGGTGCTTAGGCTGATAGTTCCTAAGTGCTTTATGGGAGAGTCGACGCAGATAGGAACATCAGTGCATCTTCTCTACTTTGTAACTCTACAAGTTGTGTGAGACCTCTAGGGGAATCCTGATCACAACCAGCTAGTGACATCACCCAGACTTGAATGAACTACATCTGCATCATGTAGATCTCAAGGGGCTCTGGCAATGAGGGACTTTGTTGGTTGAGACGCCCGTTAGTCCTGACTGTTACGATATGCTTTGTTAGGGAAGTCCTTGCTCATACCAGAATTTTTTAATGTGAATGGAGAATGTTTTAAGTCATTTAAATCATGTACAGTCCCCTTCAGAATTATTGGCTCCCTTGATAAAGATGAGCAAGAAAGGTTGTATAAAATAAATGTTTTACAGTCAAAATATGGAAGAACTGAAAGGCAGTTCCTCAGATCAAAGGATTTCTGTTAACAATAATAATGTAGCTGTAACCTTCAAATTAAATGCTTCAAACTAATTTTATTCCATGTTATAATTTGTTAGTGGTGCATTACACTGTAATGTTAATATGGAATTTGCTATAGACTGATTATAGATTAATGAAGGCAGAGTGCATAAGGCATAAGAGAATAAGGCAAAGGTGGAATATCTTTTAAGTATAATGGGGGAATAAATTATTTAAGTTTTTCAAAGGTGTTTTGTGTGTGTTGAAATGTTAAAGCTGTACTTCTGAATATTTTTGCTGCTATTCAGCTAACAGGAAACATTGTTTAACATTTTTCAATATTGCTGGATGTATGGATTTTGTTTATTCAGAAATTCAGATTTAATTTGTATCTATATTAAGATGCATGTTGTGTACAGTATATGCTTTTAGACAACAGTATTCATGATGTTTTATGCATTTTATGAAGATGTTAAAATTTCAATAAATATCAAGATGAGATAAACAAATGTGGCATAAATGTAATATTAAATATTGTCTTGGCTTTGACAAAATTGCTTTGATGCTTCTGTATAAACCTACATTTTTGCTGTTTCTACAACTTTATTTGGTTATTTATAGGTAGATAGTGTACCTAGTTATACTCCTAGAAACAGAATGATTATGTATATGTAAGTTCATTAATTTATTTTCTATTAAAATCTTTAATCAAATAAAATACAAATCTTATTACTACTACTTCTAATAATAGTGTTATATGTTATATATAGAGTTATATGTGTTATGTGTAGCTTGGAGAAAAGAACAAGTGCTTTATATACCCAGATTTCTAAACTTATGGGTTCTACAGTGGTGTGAAAAACTGTTTGCCCCCTTCCTGATTTCATATTTTTTGCATGTTTGTCACACTGAAATGTTTCAGATCATCAAACAAATTGAAATATTAGAAAAAGATAACACAAGTAAACACAAAATGCACTTTTTAAATTAAAGTTTTTATTATTAAGGGAAAAAAAATCCAAACCTACATGGCCCTGTGTGAAAAGTGATTGCCCCCCCTGTTAAAACATAAATCAACTGTGGTTTATCACATGTTTGGAAAGCTGAGTTCAATTTCTCTAGCCACACCCAGGCCTGATTACTGCCACACCTGTTCTCAATCAAGAAATCACTTAAATAGGACCTGCCTGACAAAGTGAAGTAGACCAAAAGATCCTCAAAAGCTAGACATCATGCTGCGATGAACAAATGAGAAACAGAGTAATTGAGATTTATCAGTCTGGAAAAGGTTATAAAGCCATTTCTAAAACTTTGGGACTCCAGTGAACCACAGTGAGAGCCATTATCCACAAATGGCGAAAACATGGAACAGTGGTGAACCTTCCCAGGAGTGGCCGGCCGACCAAAATTACCCGAAGAGTGCAGCGAGGACTCATCCAAGAGGTCACAAAAAACCCCACAACAACATCCAAAGAACTGCAGGCTTCACTTGCCTCAGTTAAGGTCAGTGTTCATGACTCCACCATAAGAAAGAGACTAGGCAAAAATGGCCTGCATGGCAGAGTTCCAAGACGAAAACCACTGCTGAGCAAAAAGAACATAAAGGCTCGTCTCGGTTTTGCCAGAAAACATCTTGATGGTCCCCAAGACTTTTGGGGAAAATACTCTGTGGACTGACGAGACAAAAGTTGAACTTTTTGGAAGGTGTGTGTCCCATTACATCTGGCATAAAAGGAACATCATACCAACAGTAAAATATGGTGGTGGTAGTGGGATGGTCTGGGGCTGTTTTGCTGCTTCAGGACCTGGAAGACTTGCTGTGGTAAATGGAACCATGAATTCAGCTGTCTAACCAAAAATCCTGAAGGAGAATGTCCGGCCATCTGTTAGTGAGCTCAAGCTGAAGCGCACTTGGGTTCTGCAGCAGGACAATGATCCAAAACACACCAGCAAGTCCACCTCTGAATGGCTTAAGAAAAACAAAATGAAGACTTTGAAGGAGTGGCCTAGTCAAAGTCCTGACCTGAATCCGATTGAGATGTTGTGGCATGACCTTAAAAAAGCGGTTAAGGCTCGAAAACCCTCCAATGTGGCTGAATTGCAACAATTCTGCAAAGATGAGTGGGCCAAAATTCCTCCACAGTTCTGTAAAAGACTCATTGCCAGTTATCGCAAACGCTTGATTGCAGGTGTTGCTGCTAAGGGTGGCCCAACCAGTTATCAGGTTTAGGAGGCAATCACTTTTTTACACAGGGCCATGTAGGTTTGGATTTTTTTTTTCCCTTAATAATAAAAACCTTCATTTTGTGTTTACTTGTGTTATCTTTGTCTAATATTTCAACTTGTTTGATGATCTGAAACATTTCAGTGTGACAAACATGCAAAAAAAAAAAGAAATCAGGAAGGGGGCAAACACTTTTTCACACCACTGTATGTCTCATCACCTAAATTCTGTCTACCTCATGTACAGTGTGGTGAAACACCCCCTTAAGATTTTATGATTTAACATGTTTGACCTTCACCTGGTCCTCACCAAGTCCCCAATAGCAGATAATACTTGCCATATTTGACCAATAAGACGTGCATAATTTATTTGGTCGTTGTCAGATGTCGAAATATGTTAACCCATGAAATTATAAGGGGGTGTAGTTTTCACTATATACAATAGTGGGGAAAAAAGTGATCATTTACTTTTTTCCATGTTTATTTTTGATCACATGACAACCTTTTACAGATACTGTGAGCAGACTAATGTAAAGCAGTAAAAGTAAATTATGAAATATCTTTGGTCCATCTTATGTTAAAATTTGATTGAACTACTGTTTTTTTCATTTGTAATTGGAAGACATTGGAGAAGCGACTGATTACTTATTCCCAAATCTTCTTCTAATAATTTAACCTTCAGTGTCTTTGCACTTGTGATTATTTCTGTCATGTTTATTAAATCTGATGACTTCATATCAACATTAAATATCCACATTTTTATGCTGTCTGAAACACAATATTGCAATGTCTAAAATTTTAATTCTTATTAAATATGTTTTAAATAAGATTTGTAAAAAAAAATAATTCAGGCATGATTGCATACTTTATTCCTGATTAGGGTACAGAGATTGTTAAAAAATAAGTAATTGCAGTTGTGTTATTTGAAAATAACCATAGATACCATTAAGTTCCATAGGTTTTTTTCTTATATGACAGATCCCTTTGTAAATCACCCTGATTCCTGTGAAAATAGGTAGAATCTTAATCATTGAAGTACCATTTTCAAGGAAGAGCAAAAATAACATTGTCCCTTTTTAAATTGAAATCCTTTGGGCTTTCAATTTTAGAGTAAACATTTTTTGTATTCTGTTTAAATTATTGAACAATGAATCAGTCTCAGGTAGAAGTTTTGTTAATAGTACTAATGTAAATATATAGCTCTTTAAATGGTCTGTCTGCTTAGCCAAATGCTCAATTTACATTTTTTCGGACTCAGATGATAACAGATTTCATCTTTGTTTAAACCTTAGCAAGGAACACTTCTGACATGACAAGTTCACATTATATAATTTCAGGGCCTGTTAGCTGACATGCTGTTATATGCACTACAAAGCAACACTGGAAGAACCACAAACCACAAGTCAAAAGGTTCTAGACGGATACAAACTGACAGTCTGCTGTCACTGGTTTCAATGTCTTTTTTGTCCAGTAGCTATCATTTCTAATCAGCCACCTATTTTTAATTTTAAAGCACTTCTGTGCATTTTGTTCAAATCAGGTTTCTAACTCGTCATGTATTTTGTAACAAGTTTCAGAGTCAAAAATTGTTTTAAAATGTTTACAGTCTGGAATGTGCAGCAGTACAGTTTTCCCTAATAGAGGGAAGTCATTAATCATCTTTCTGTGTTTAATTCAGTCTCTCTCCTGCATGCTTAATTATATTTTTTCTAATAAATTTTCAGGTGCATAAGCTGATGTGAAAAACTGTCCTTGTTTATCACCATCTGGTCATCTTAGTTTGACATCTGTATGATGTAGATGTGAAGAATCAAAGCAGAGGGAAACGTAACTTGTTTTATTTTATGAAACCTAAAAGGGGTTGATCCCGAGTCATGAGTCAAGGTAGACAAGCTGCCAAGCAAGATCTTAAACAATTGATGTTAGTGAGGAAATGTGTGAAGGTCTTCATATAAGTTGCACACAATTCTAATAGTAGTTTCCTCATATTAAGAGCTGCTTTTTTTCTTAAAACTTCTTATCACTGTAGATTAAGAACAAGCAATGGCAAGCTGCCATGTACACTCAAAAATGTACACACCTACAC